CAGCAGATATGAAGTGAGGGGAGATGCACAAGAACACCCAAACTTGCAGACAGTACCCATTTGACATAGCCTTGATGGCTTGATAATCATAACTCGACTAGAGGAAGATAAAGAAAAAAAAAAAAAAGAACAAAACAATTTTTGGTAAAGAAAACAAGGGTAAATTGCTACAATTTGATAAACTTGACCTATACTCATGGAGGTAGTAACTCTAAATACCAATAGAGAGGAAAGGAGTCTTCACATCAAGTTATCAATGCTATCCCCTCGTACAAAGGGTAGATAGGGATGGGCAACTTAGTCATTGGCTACATAAAATGAGGGGGTGATAAAGGCACGAAGTGACTGGCTTACAAGGTTTCAAGAGGGAGTTTAATTTAAGAGTGTGTGTGGGGGGCGGGGAGAGAACAAACAAGATGGCGAATCGGGTAGAAGTGCATTGAGGAGCTCTGTCAGCAACAACACAGAATACCAGATCAAGCAAGCCCAGGGGATGGTCCCAGAACTCTAAACCACTTATAAAGGAGTATTTAGAAAGTTAGAAGGCTTACAGTCAGTGGAGTTTGTAGCATTGCAAGTCAAGGATTGAACCCTTTCTTCTGCTCTTTCAGCTTAAGAAATGTTGAGTGTGTTTCTTTTTGTATTCTGACTCCAGGTCTTTGCACATTTCATTACACTTTGTCTTCTCAAGCTGCCCTTAAAATTTTTTGTTCGGTTATTTTATTTCTTTCATTCATGTTAGTCATTTCTATGTTCAAGAGCATGTTTCAGAGTCTCTTCTGACATCCACTTTGGTCTTTTTTTCCTTTTTTGTGATCTTTTGCTTTCCTCATGCATGATGCTTTTATGTCATCCCACAACTCGTCTGGTCTTCAGTCATTAGTGTTCAATGCATCAAATCTGTTCTTGAGATGGTCTCCAAGTTCTGGTGAGATATATTCAGGTGGTCCTTGCAAACTTAAAAAAATTTTTCCTGAATTTGTATCTGAACAGATGTCTTGTGTGGTCAGGTCCTGGCCTTGTTTTGGCTTATCATACTGAGCTTCTTTATCACCGCTCCCACAGATATAGTCACTTTGATTCTTGTGTATTCCATCTGGTGAGGGTCAATGTATTTGCAATGAGTAAGTCGCTGGCCTTGCAAAATTCTATCATGTGATCTTTCCAGCATTGTTTCTATCACCAAGACCGTATTTTCCAACTACTGACCTTTCATCTTTGTTTCCAACTTTGCATTCCAATCACCAGTAATTATGAATACATCTTGATTACATGCTTGATCAATTTCAGACTGAAGAAGTTGATAGAATTCATTGGCTTTAGTAGCTGGTCCATAACATTGACTGGTCTTCCTGGTAGGCTTACAGATACTGTGCTATCACAGAGAGTACTTCACTTCAAAATAGATCTTGAAATTTTCTTTTTGACAAATGAATGTGATGCAATTCTTGAATTTGTCATTCCCGGCATAGTAAACCATGTAACTGTCCAAAACAAAAACAGGCCAATCAATACCTGTCCATTTCAGCTTACAAACACATACAGTATTGATCTTTATGTGTTTCGTTTCATTTTTGACTTTCAAGTTTTCTGGTATCATACTTGGTACATTACATGTTCTGATTACTAGTGGATGTTCGCAGATCTTTCTTCTCATTTTGAGTTGTGCCCCATTAGCAAATGAAGGTCCCGAAAGCTTTGCTTCATCCGTGTCATGAAGGTCAAGTGTACTCTGAGGAGGCAACTCTTTCCCAGTCATACCTGAGGGGTTCATTGCCCAGCGCTGTAACAGTGTTGCAGTGTTCTTCATAAGGTTGCTGTGGCTAATTCCTCCAAAGTGGTCCACATATTCCTTCTTCCGAGTTTGTCTTTGTTTGGATACTCCATAGAAACCTGTCTACTATGGGTGACCCTTGTTGTTGTTGTCAAGTGCCGTCGAGTTGATTCCATTCCATAGCGACCCTGTATAGGATTTCCAAGGAGCAGCTAGCTGGTGAGCTTGAACTGCTGACCTTGCAGTTCAAACAGCTTTGCAGTCTGGCGTATTAATCCACAGCGCCACACCAGGACTCCATGGGTGACCCTGCTGGTATTTAAAATTCTGGTGGCATAACTTCCAGCATCACAGCAACACACAAGCCACCACAGTATGACAAACTGACAGACTAGCGGTAGGGAGAAGGATTAGAGATGGAAACACCACCAAAAATGTACAGACCAAGATGGAGGATATGCTGAGAAACAATGGCTTCAAATTTTGATATTTTTGTTAAAGTCATATAATTTTATAGTAATGCTTTTGGACTTACCCTCACATTATAAAGAGAAGGGACAGTTGAGCTAGGATTTGGAGAATGAATTAGAGTTCACCAGGTGGCCAAGGGAGAAATGGGGGGAGGGGAGGACACCCACAAAGACATAGAGACAGCTAATGAATGGCACAGGC